GGGGGTGTGGTCGAAAATGTAGGCAAGAGGACATGACCACAGGAGAAGATGGAGATGGATTGGGCATGTTCTGAGAAGAGAACCAGACTCTATTGTGAAGATTGCACTCCACTGGACACCCGAAGGACGTCGCAAAGGGGCAGACCCAAAGTGACCTGGAGACGCACAGTAGAGTCTGAAATGAAGTCCTGGAATCACTCGTGGGGAACGCTGACCAAGATGGCCCAAAACAGACAGAGCTGGAGATCCTCTGTTGCTGCCCTAAACGCCAGATGGCGTAATGGGTAGTAAGTAAGTAAGTTGTTGTTGTTTTGTTTTTGTTTTGTTTTTTGTTGGGTTTTTTTTTAGGGGGGGGAGAGAAGGCCAAAAACAAAGAAAACACAAAAAATGGAACGGAAAACAAAACAACCATACCACCCAGAACCTCCAATCAACCAAAGAAGGGGCGCGTGGATATAAACACACCATATTTTTTTTGGTAAGGTGTTTCTTTTTACCTTGTTACGCACGGATCATCCAAACATTTATTCCCCGGATAAATTAATGTTTTGTATATTTTCCTTTATTACATTTTAAATATAGATACACGTATACAAAAGAGGCACCGGCTTTCTTCCCCAAAGATAGCGAGCGGACGAATCTTAACAAAGTGTCAAAACCACGAGAGGAACAACTTCCATGTGTTGTGGAAGGCCCGAGACCCGAGGCGACGGCCTGAAGTGTTACTATGTGATCAGTTGCCCGATACCGAGCAAATAGATAGTATTGACTCCAAGCCAACAAACCATACCGAGACTGTCAAGGGCCGACACTTAACCCTATCTCGCTTTGAAGCCTCAAATCGGACGGTGCGCGGCTTTTTTTTTTTTTTTTAGTACTGCCATATCGGCCCAGCCAGAGACCCGGGAATTGTGGAGCCCAGTGAAGAAAGCTAGTAAGAGCGTTTATAGTCTACTTTGGGCTGTTTTTAGGTTAGGCACTGATGAGGAAAATGGCATTTCCCAGGCTAATCTTACCAGAGATTAAACAGCAATTGATACGTTCGTTACTATACTAGTTAAGTACCGATAACAAGTGATATTTGAATTCTGTTAAGGAGGTGAACTCAGCTACGATAAAAAAGGAAAATGTAAAACGTCAATTTTATTCCACATTGGCGGGAGCGAGGTTGTTCCAAAGGATCATAGACATATCAAATAACCTGGAAATCTTTGAGCGGATTGGGCAACCAAGGGGTATTAAAAGGCGCCGGAGGGAAGGGAAACTTGGTCGAGTGTTTATGTTGGGTGCACACGTGTCGCATATTGCAAAATGTGTATCGTGGCCACATCCGCACGAGAAAGATATCTCGGAATTGACACAGCTTTTTACTTCGTCAGATTAAAGTAGCAGAAAGAAAATGAGTGCATGTTGGTATTGTTAGCACTGAATAGCAGTACTAGCAACAACAACGATAAAAAATAATGATGCTAAAAGTAATAAATATAATTATTATTACTGTAGTAGTACAATGTATTCCGTAGTAGTACAATGTATTAATAACAATAATATCTTTAGGACTTTCAAAAAGCACGAGTTCCATGAACATTACTAGAGACCCAAGGGTTAAGTTATTTGGACAGTTTTCGACCTAACGAGGCTAGCGTAGTATCAAAACATCGATGCAGACAGAATATTAGGTGGTATACAAGCTTAATTCAGCACGACAAACTTTGTTGTATTGTATTGGACTTCAATAAATGTACACCTACTCGTACTGGTACCGTTTGTCAAGTACGTGTGTATTATTGGGCCAAGATGATTTTCCGACGCGATCCGATCATGAAGACACAATCGGTGTGAGAAGTGTGCAATATAATTTATGTCAGGGTGCGTGCGTTGCGGCCCATAAGGTAAGGGGGGGGGGGGGGAGGCACACCAATGGAAAAGACACTCTTTACATGCACC